TTCAGGCATGGTAGATTAAATCATGGCTGGCTATTGATGACTGACTTAGTCTCCAACCCTTCTTCAGAGGTTGAGGGGCTGGGGGAGACTGGAAATTCCAGCCCTCCAATCACTTGGTTAGTTCTCCTTATAACTTGCTCCCATTCTTAGACATTTCCAAAAGCTGTTACTGAATTGTTTACATAACAAAAGATACATTTATTACTCTTGACAGTTAGGAAATTTCAAGGCTTTTGCATCTGTGAACCAGGAACTGTGGTTGCAGACCAATTATACATATGAGAAATACACATTTGGTCATCTAAATGATCAGATAGATATTTTCTTATAAGTCAGTGTCATATTTGTATGTGTAGCTCGTATCATACATGCATGTTTATAGCATTTAAAGGGGAAATAACATCAAGCAGCTTATTGGTGAAAGATGATAAAACATACATGATAGAATGTTATTAGCAATAAAAAGAAATGAAGTACTAATAGATGCTGAACATACATAAACTTTGCAAACATGTATGTGAAAGAAACAATCACAAAAGATCAATATATTATGATTCCATTCATATAAACTATCCAGAATCTCTCTATCTATAAAGATAGAAAACAGATCAGTGGTTGCTATAGAGAGGTTAGAGGGGAGGACTGCTAGACATCCAAGTGATTTCTGGGAGAGCAAGGAGGTGTTGAAGATACTCTAAATTTGATTGTGGTGATTGTAGTATATTCTCTGAATATACTAAAAACTACTGAATGATACACTTTGAATTATGTATTTCCGAAAGCTGTAAGGAGTGTATTTTATCACCTCTGCAGTCATATCTGTTCTTCGGAGTTTTTCTTACACATCACATATTTAGGTAGAATCGACAGATTTCACAATACAGCTCTTTGATGCATATGTTTTGCTAATATATAATTCATTAACAGCTTGGCTTTATCCTGGGATTTTTTTTACCACCACCTTATCCCCAAAGTTTACAAGCTGGGTGTACTGCAGAAGTGAGAATAATATTTGTTCCAACTTGGAAGTGTTAGTAAGAACATCTCACAGTGAAACATCACTGCTCTGAAACTACCCTTGAACTAAAGCTGGGCTGACAGGATAAATGTGCTAAGTCCATCCACTAAACCTCTTGTTCATTGCAGAGCTATTTGGCCCTTCTCAAGCTATTTGCTCTCATTTTATCTAGCATTCTAATAAGCAGGTTGCTGGTTTCCAAACCCTGTAACAGACTAGAATCATCAGGCATACAGACTGTGTGTAAAGGGACAGAACTGTGGCACACATCCCTTCCCAATTGATATGTTGAAACCCTAATTCCCAATGTGATGATAATGGAGATGGAGGCATGGGTGACACTTAGGTTTAGATGAGGTCATAAGTGTGGGACCTCATAATGGGATTAGTGTCCTGTAAGATAAAACACCAAAAAGCTTCCTCCATTACCTACTCCCATGGAAGGACATGGTGAGAGGTTCCTCTCTCCACACCCTGAGGAAAGCTTTCTGGCACCTTGATATTGAACTTCTTCAGAACAGTGAGAAGGTAGCTTTCTGTTTACACCCACCCAGTCTCTGGCATTTGTTATGGCATCCTGGGTTGACTAAGACACAGAAAAAAGGCAGCAGTTAGACTAACAGTGAGGGAGAAGTAGACAAATCACAAATCACGCAAGCAAAATGTTGGCAGTTAAAGAGTATCATAAGTCCTAAGATTTCCTAAATCACAACATGGTATAATAAATTATTCTCATAATAAGTGATCATCAAAAAAGGGTTGATTAAAAAATTTCAATTCTGGGCCCTCCCTGGTGGCGCAGCGGGTTAGAGCACTGCACTGAGAAACTAAGGCCACTTCCGCATGGGTTCGATCCCCGCCTGCCCCGGAGGTGACCACATGGCGTGGCAGACCTCTCCTGACCCGCCCGCTGCTCCCCTCAGCTGTGTGCCTCCTCAGTCTGCCTGTTCTGCTTCCCGCTCTGTCTCTGGTGGATCCTCTCACCCTCCGCATCTCTGGCCTGTACCCCAGTTCTGTATGAATAAATAAATAAATCTTTAAAAAAAAATTTCAATTCTGTATTAGAAAATTTAAATATCCAAATTAGTCATTGTTTGAAAGTTGAATCAGATTTTGTTATCCAAAATGACTCATTTCTCATAATTTCCAGACACCTTTTTGCGTTATTATAGCTCTGTGCTTCAAAATAAGAGGGTAAAGATAAATTTCTGTTTCCTTCTCCTAAAATTATATTTGAGATAGGATATAAGACTTGGGTCTTTAAATCAGGAATAAAAGTAATCCCTAAATTTTTCAAGTGTCTTAAAGGGTTGGAGGCAGGCATATAGAGCTATTTTGTCAAGGTTAAGATCATGGTGCCTAAACTTCCTAGCAGTAAAAATAGGAAACCAATTCTAGCCCACTCTCAGGGCTAAAAGATTATTTTGTGAATATTTTTCATCTTTGTGTATTTCATATAGCTAATAGCTGAAAGAAACACCACTTAACAGTGATTAGAGTTGTTAACCTGGTTTCTGCTATACTCTTCCTTGAGAGATTATCATCTCTACCAGCTTCTTTTATTAGTACTAGTTTGTAACACCCTGTTTACTATTCTGAATGAATTTCTTAGATTATATAACCTCTATCTAGTCATATACTTGGGGGAAAAACCCATGTCTGTTATGTAAGAAGGAATCTAAAGATGAGATAACTTCAAAAAAGGTAAATACTCAGACATTGCCAGTCGACCTGACCAAAACTCGCTTGTCTATTTGTATAGCGATCCCTCAGGGAGCAGTAATAGAGCCAGGGTCAGTTCCTCCCTCCACCCCTTAAGTGGTGCTTAGGGAGAATATTTAGTGGCCCCTTGTATAATACATCTGCTGTTTACCCTGTTGTTTATATACTAAGTAGCTGTTGTCTTTCTCCTTTCACTTCGGACAACTCACTCCCATTTTTGTAGGTTGTAGGCTGACTAGAATAGAATGAGGACTGGCCTGGGAGTCCACAGGTCTTGTGCTGACTTTGCCTCTGGTTAGCCCTGACTGAGTAAGTCCCTTGTCTGGGCCTTGGCATCAACCATTAAAGTGCTCTCTCTAACCTCTTTTCATTCTTTCCTATTACTTTGATATTTTTTCAAATCAAATAGAAATAGGATTTCCATTCTCAAATAACTTACTTGGACTTCAGGAATTTGGGTTCTTCACTGAACAGAATGATCTGGGGAACTTTAAAAAATAAGGATTTCTGAGTTTTAATCCCAAGGATTCTGATTCATTTATTTTTTTTTTTTAACAAGCATCCAAGTTCTAATGTAGAATCACAATACTGCCTATAGATAGGTCCAAGAAAGGGCACCATATGCTTCAAAAAAAAAAAGAATAGTTCTTTATTTATACATACTAGAACTGGGGTGTAGGCCAGAGGTGGGAGGGTTCACTAGAGACAGAGTGGGGAACAGAACAGGCAGATCTACTGAAATACACTGCTGAGGAAAGCAGCGGGTGAGGCAGGAAAAGTCTGCTGGGACATACGTGGGTCAGCTCGCTGGCTGGGGATGAACGAAACTCAGGCCATAGCAGTAGTTAACACTGAGACTTAACCCCTATGCTACCATGGAGGCCTCTTGAGTCTTATTTTTCATCTAACCAAAAGAAAACTCTTACTAGCATTTGTGTAGGCATACATTGACCACTACAGATATTAATCCCCCTTATCCCAGCTGTGTGAATTAATGTTAGTATTATGTCTTTAGCTTAAATGGCTATCTCTTTCCTTCTTTGGGAAGACTGAGGAGTTTCCATTCCTCTTGGAGTAAGTGCCTTGCTTTTTTCCATTTTCTTTCTCACATTTCAAATAGACAACTTCCTGGGATATTGCTAGTGCATATTGCTTGATGAAATCCACTTGAACCAGAATCTCCTTATTACAGTAGCGCAGGGCTATTCTTTTCGCTTGAGAACCTAAAAACATGTAGATTTTATTATTTAAATTGGGTAACTTTATACAATTTTATTTTCATGTGACATTGCCTTTAACTTGGCTAAAACCTTAAGACACAGTTTTCTTCTGGGTTTAAACCTAGTGTGAACAAGATACTTCTACATGAGTCCCTCCATTTGTTCCTAAGGCAGGGATGGCACCTGTGCTGGGCTGGGCTGCCAGGCCCCCTCCACCCTCTCCTCCTTCAGCTGATGGCACTAAATAGTCCTTACATTCTTTCTTGGTGAACAGTTTCGGAGCAGCAGAGCCCCAGGCATCTGCACTAAGCCGGCAGCAGATGCATCTGCAGATTGTCGCTTAAGTTTATGTCTCATTTATGTTTAGTACTTTGAGAAGATTGTGATAGAAGAAACAGACAGCAGCAGATTTTCTTAACCTTTTATCAGGTAAAGTGTACTCAGAACTACTGTCATAAAACACTGGCACATTTTATTGGTAAGCATTTGCTTCTTTGGTAAGCTTTTAAACTAAAGCTCTCGCTGTCTTTTTTTTCCCCCCATGTTTATTCAACTTTACAACTTTTTGTGAAGGTGTATGTTATGTTAGGGCCTACGTCAGATACACATTTATACTTATAGCTCTGTGTGTGTATAGCCATGGCTGATATATATATTATGATTTTATATCTGTTTATCTATCTATAGCTATGGCTTAGGGAATTAATAGACTTTAGAACAGAGGAAACAGAGTCTTGATTAATGATGTGTATTGACCGAGATAGGGGAAGCATGTTTAAAAAAATAAGATTTTGTAACGGAGGTGAATTTGCACCTGAGTCATGAAGGAAGAATGAGCAGGCATTTCTCCAGCAGATGAGGAGGAAAATCATTCCAGGTGGCAGAGAAACCTGGTTCCAGGCCAGGGCAGGTAGAATTTTGCTTGAATTGTAAAAGGGTTGGAACTAAATGAGATTTAGTTATATGAGGTATAGTACTGGGCAGTATTATATGTTGAGAGCCCCTTATTGTCTCAAATTCTTTTTAACCATGTTTTACAGGAACCAGAATCATTTATGATAGAAAGTTTCTGTTGGATCGTCGCAATTCTCCCATGGCTCAGACCCCACCCTGCCATCTGCCCAATATCCCAGGAGTCACCAGCCCTGGCACCTTAATCGAAGACTCCAAAGTAGAAGTGAACAATTTGAACAACTTGAACAATCATGACAGGAAACATGCAGTTGGTAAGAGAAGGATGGTGTTGGGGACCACACAGGAGATCTTGAGTTTGAAATCAGTCTGCTGTAGTTGAAGAAATGCTGGCGTTTCAGTTATAACTGGTGTTCAATTATATGCCTCTAAGATTCCCACCACTCCCTGACCAGGTGAAATGTTCTAGAAACTCCAGGTTCTAAATCATATGCATATCTAATCTAGTGAGTTTGGGGAAGAATACAGAACTAGGGAGTGTATACCCCAAAGATGATTCCTTGTACCTGGGATTTATCAGACTAGAGTGACACACCACAATAGAATTTGATAGCCCCTGTTACCATCACCCTCAGGAAATAGACCAGAGAATGCCTGGTCTGGGGTGAAGCTGTATGGTTTTTTCCCTCCTAGGACTCTACCTGTAATATTTCAGTGAACACCCCACTCTCCCACGTGCACACACATACTTTTAGTAATGAGTCCTCTGTGTCTAGAAGCAGAGAGGGAGGTAGAAATGGCCAGCTCCTTAAGTATACGTTGGTCTGTGCGCCAAGGCCCTGAGCCAGCACTCTGCCTCCTCAAGACCCAAATGGGTTTTTTTTTTTTTTTTTAAAGATTTATTTATTTATTCATACAGAACTGGGGTACAGGCCAGAGGCTCAGGGGCGGTGAGAGGCTTCACCAGAGACAGAGTGGGGAGCAGAACAGGCAGATCGACGAAGTACACTGCTGAGGGGAGCAGCGGGCGGGCCAGGAGAGGTCTGGCCCGCCATGTGGTCTCCTCCGGGGCAGGCAGCAGGCGGGAATCGAACTCATGCGGAAGTGGCTTCAGATTCTCAGTGCTGCGCTTTAACCTGCTACGCCACCAGGGAGGGCCCCAAATGGGTTTTTAATGGACACAGTGTCAGCTCAGAACTAGGCCAAAGTTCAGAACCTCCAGAAGAGTGCTGCCGTGCTGCTGGTAAGGGAACCCCAGGAGCTCTTAACTTGATTAGCCTGGGGGCACTGGGACACTAGGAACAAAAAACATTTTCACTTGTGTCTTTTCCCTGAATGCTTGTCCCCGTGGATAATTTCACTACCATTCTACCAGATTAAAAAGATGAGCCGAAACAAAGCAGGATAATTGTTTTAGAGCAATATGGAATGGGACAGTGTGTTCTTTTTTGATGCTCATACAGAGGAAGTGATAGTTCTTAAGTGGTTTTGCTTTTCCTTTTTTTTGCTAAATTTTTCCATTTCTTCATTCTACCTAGGGGATGATGCTCAGTTTGAGATGGACATCTGACTGTCCTGCCAGGATCAGAAGAAAAACAGCAACACCGATACTGCGTGTACCTGATTTGCCAACAGGATCAACAACGAAAAGACGGAAGAAGCAGCACCAGCAGTCCCCATCGCATCTCCGCCTCCTCCTTTTCCTCCCGGCGCCAAACGTGAAGATGAGCTTCATCTGACCATTTCCTGTCCCCTTCCCAGTTAGGTAGCTTGAAAGCCCTTGTCATATTTCTGTAAAACCAAGCAGCCCACAGAAGAAAACAGTTAAGCTTCGGCTTCTCTGGTCTTTTCTATATGAGAAATCTCCCCTCCCCTCAAACTGTCTTTCAATCCCAAATCAAATAGCAACTGACCAGCTGTCTGGTTGGGCGGTCTGGGGAAGTGAGACAGAGATTTGGTGGGTTCAGCTTTATTTTTGTTCTTACTCTGTCTCCCCTTCCTGTCTCCCACCCATGGATCAGTGCTGCCAGAGTGAGTTTGGGTCTTCAAAACTATGAGAGGGTAAACATTTACCTTGAGATCTTTGTCCTCTGGGACAGAGCACAGTTTGTGCAGCTCCAGTAGCATTACCCTATGACACTGTTTTGAGGTTTGCTTCCTCTGGGAAGAATGTCTTCTGTCTTTGGTATTACATACAATTCATCTTCCCATTCTTTTTCTTAGCACATTTGTACGAAATTTTTTAACTCTACATTGGAAGGGAGTTCTCCCATTCCTTCCACTTGCATCTGGTTGCTTAAGGTCCTCTTGGATGCTCTATCCAGGTGATTAATCTGCTCCCACAGAAGGTCCATTCCAGGTGGTGGAAGCGCTCTGGACATGGCCTGATCACATAGTATTCTGCCAGGTGGCACCCGAGAGAGACCGCAGTAAGCCCTTGGAGTGCCCGTTCTTCAGTAGTCAGTTTCCACCCCAAGGAGCATTGTGATATTTGTTGTCTCGGAGTGCAGTGTGTTATATTTTAAGTTTAAAGTTGACTTTCAGAATGTTCCTGGAAAAGAACTGAATTTTTTCCCTTTGTGGACCTGCTTTGTTTGACTGCTGAAATAGATAAGCATCGGTTTAAAAATGTGTTCCTCCTAGTTTTTTTGCCTTACCTGTCATATTCTGAATTTTCCCTTTCTTCCCTCCCGCTCTCTCCTTCCTTTTTCTCTTTCAGGCCATTTTTCAAATAGACATCAGAAATACCTCAATTGTTGGTATCTGATATCTGTCACTTATATGAGGAGTGACCTTTTATTTTTAAGATGACTACAACCTATTTTTAGATATGTTTTCAGTACAACTTTGAACAGCAACTTTTTAAATTACACACCTTCCAGTGTTAGGAAGGTGACAGGTGTCCGCCAGTGATTCTGCTGTTCCGTGTCACCATCCTTTGTCTCCCCCAGCCTTTTATGAGCGCTTTCCTTCTTCCTCTAGCTTTGGGTGTGCATGTTTGGTGTTTGTACTGTGTGGTTTATAAATCTGGACCATTCTGCTTGGCTGTGGGTTGTTCATGAAAGCCTCGTTCTTTTCCGTCACCCTTTGCTTTTCATTCCCCTCCTCCCCACCCTGCTGTCCCGTGACTGTTGATTGAATGGCACAATAAATCCCAGAGAGTGACTCCCTTCAAGAAAGACTGATGCCTCTGTCCCCTCACAGAAGACAAGTAAAGTAGCACTGGCGTCCCGGGAATTTGATTGGATTTGGTGTCCTGAACCCCTTTTGGAGATCAGTTCCCGGTGAGCGTAATGGGCCAATTGACTCAGAAAGAAAACTGTTTTTCTTTCAACTATGAAAAGACCCTGTTTGTAGATACGTTTTAGAGGAGAGGAAGGATGTGTGAGGAACTTTGTTATGTCTTTTTTGCAACAAAATGTGAATAGTTCAGAGTGAAACCTTTTGTGACGGTTGATGTCTCTCAGGAATACGCTGCATCACCAACTTGGTGATACCTTCAGTCTCAAATTGATGATCAGGATGGTATTTTTTTGTTTGTTTGTCTAATGTATCCCTGTTCTGGTTTTAATTAAACTTCAAGTTTCATTTTACATACTCTTGGAAAACTTAAGTTGCACTGTAATTTATATTTGAGGTTTGTCAGGCCCTCTTTGCCCACTGGCGAGCTTGAATCTTTGGAAATGGAGCATTTTCTTCTTCATACCCTGACCCTGACATCCTCTGGAACCTGAGCCCAACTATAGGTAGTAGGCCTGTCTGCCAGCCCAAGAGCATCCTGTCCCCTCTTGATCTTTAATGCTGCACATGAAAACATGGCTTTCTCACTGAACAATGGGGAGTGAACTTAAAACATGGCAACTTGAGTGGTTTCAAGATTCCATTTCCCCCCTTTGTCATCTTGGGGAATCTGCATGCCACCCCAATCAAAGGCCATCTTTTAGTACATCTTAGTGTCCACTGTTTCCTACAATGACTGCCTGATCTCACAGCCTTTTCTGCAAGGACTTCTCTGAGCAAGCCTCACTGCTTTGTGCACTTCTTTCCTGGAAGCCACTGCTACCTTAACCTCCCCTAATCAGCATTAAATAACTGCAAGGCAGCAGGTCAGCTTCCAGCACATGACACCTTTGTGCTGTGCTTCACAGAAAGTTTTTTGGGTTAGCCAGCATTGGTAGTTGGTTTGCTTCTGGGTATTTGGAAGGCTCACAGATGCTCTAAATAAATGTTAATCCTAGTTTTTTCCTTGGGAAGGAAATACCCTTAGGGTACCATTTAAGTGAGATGACTTTTAAGATCTTGACATTCATTTCTACTTTGCTTTGGATGAGGAAACCATGGCTTCCCTGAGCTGAGTGATCCCAGTGAGAGGCAAGAAGGAATACCTGTGCAGTGCCTTTTATCAGCCTCAGAAAGCACTGACCTTCATTCACTTTTACTTTTTCTTAGAAGCAAACCATGAAGCCCAGCATATGTCCAAGAAGGGCATTACATCCTACCCGCTGAGTGAGCGGTATCAAGGAATTCGTGGCTATGTCTACCACACCATAGAGAGGAGGAAACCAGGTTGACAGTGATAGGTCTGAACCAGATGATAGACTTCCAGAGATAAGTTGCTATCAAAAACAGGTCTCCAAGTCATGCCTGACCAAACTGACAGAATGCAGACTTTCTCTTTTCCCAGAGTTTGCTGGTTTGGAAAAGTGTTGAGAAACGGCAATTTCCAGAGAAATATGATATCCGCATACCTCCTGACTACCAGCAGCCCAAAGATGTTTCTCTGCAATCTTGGTGTCTCTAAGCCTTGATTACATTGCCACTTATTTGCTATCTTCCTTAGCCAGAATTAACAAAGAAAGGAAATTGGGTCCTTTTTAGCAGAACCACTAAAACTGACTTACTGGAGTCAGAGTTGTCAAGCAAAGGGAGCAAATGTGAATTAGATGTTAGGTTTTTGGAGTGAAGAAAAGTTGTAACAGCTAAAATTCCAGGTACAATAGATGATAACACCAGGAAGCCAGGCCCCCAGCAGAGCTGGTGCTTGGTGTGCTCTGTGACACCAGCCGAGAGACGGGGGCTCACCCAAGAAGCCACTTCTTGATCTCTGATTGTCCCTTGAAACCTAGCGTGCCAGTTGCCTGCATACCCATCTCAGGCCTCCTGCTGGAATTTTTTCTTGAAGAGAACCAATCCTGTCGTTGCCTTGGAGCAAAACATAGATGAGGCTCGTAAGTGCAGCACATGCTTAGAGAATGTCTGCTTTGTGTTCCTGGCACACACATCTCACCAAGCTCTTAAATTTCGGACACCTTAAGGATACATGTCCTTGTTCAGTCGTGCTCTGCCTGTCTAGCGCCTTCTCGCGTGCAGCCCTGCTTGTTTGGGAGAACACTGGACTAAGCAGCAATGCTGCTGGGCAGCTGTAAGAGGCCCTTCCAGAAGTCAAAACTTATCTTTAAAACACCTTCAAATTTTGTTGTTCCTTCTAATTCTGGGTAGAATAAAAATAAATGGTCTTGTTACTCTTTGCTGTTTGGGTTACTAGTTCTTTGGAAGACATTACCTTCCTACTTCAAATGTTTCCACTAGGTGCCACCTACTAAGCGTGTGGGTGTCATTCCCAGAGCCCATCAAGTGGCAACTGAGTGCCTGCTTGGATTCAAGGCGGCTGGTGTAAGGGGCTCATTTTCTTGGCAGCAATGTCCCAAAGACCAAATCTTTCTCCCCATCTTTGATATTTGATGGGGATTTGAGTTTCTTGACTGAAGCCATGCCTTTTGTCTATGCCCTTTAGAGAGGAGGCCCCATTACTTCTGTCTGGCCCAGAACTTTTCCTTGGCTTCTGTTTGGACAGTATGTGTACAGTAGTTATTTACTGATATGCGAAACCCAGTCGCCCTCCCGTGACCTTTGGGAGAGGGTAGTACATGCTAAAGAAGCAGTGTTTCTTGGGAGGGCTGTTTCTGTCTAGACTTTGAGGGGGTGTAGAGACTCTGCCTCCCCCAATAAAAGATGAAATCAGACCTTGAGGTATTTAGGCCCCAATTCTTTGGAATGCTTATCCCTGGTGAGCATTTGCTGTTCTAATGGTAACTTTCCAGCTTGGCGTAGGAGTTTCCCTTAGGCTAGCTCACAAATTTCTTATTGGAGGATGATTACTGATACATACTCACGATGCAAACATCCATTATCACCTTTTTTACCCTCTGGAATTTAAATTTCAATCTCTGGGCTGGTCCTGGAAGTTCATACCTTTTGGCAAAGCTTAGATTTAGAGTCTTTTGAGTCCCTGGTCTGTGGTTTCTCTGCTTAACCTCTGGCTGCAGCCTGGCCAAACATACTGTATGGTGGGTGCCCAATGGAAAACTCCCAAGATGAAACACATTTCCCAGGGTATTTAAACTCGCTCTGCCACCTGTCTGAGTGGGAGGCTGGTAGATATGCTGCAATGCTTGATAATCATTTGGCCACTGAAATTTCCAAAGGGAGCTCTTGCCAGTGCTTAAAACCAAAATTCCTGGATACTTCAAACTTAGAGAATCCGTGATTCTAGCACAGACTATCCATTCTTGCTCCAGTGTATCCCCTTCCTCTCCATCTTAATCTTAAAAAAATGCAAACAAAACCCGGAGCCAAGGCCAAGGGTAATGTTTACTTGAAACCTGGAGAGTCGGGGAGGCACGCCGAGAGACCGGCTAGTCACGTGGGTGAGCTGTCCTGCTCCAGGTGTCTGTATCCAAATCCTGAGTACTGTGAGCCAGTGCCTTTCCTTCACCTGAAGATGGAGCCCATCTTTCCACCTGGGTGAGGAGACCCTCTGCTTTAAGGGTATTCCTTAAAGAAGGTGTCTTGGAGAGCCCAGAGGACACATGTTCAGGTGTCCATTTTAAGCATCTGTAAAGTATTTTATATGTATATTTAAAAAATGCCCTCGTCTTAGTGCCACCAAAACGGTTCCATCCATTTTCGATGGAAAAGTGGGGACTACCAGTGCTTTCCTTGGTCTTCCCTTCCTCTCCCTTAGTGTGGTTCCCCTCTCAGCTGTTCGGCTGCTTCTCTGTCGTGGACGGGTAGCAGAGGGCACCGTGCAGCCCTGTGTGATTCCTTGACCGTGTGTGTGTGTGTGTGTGTGTGTGTGTGTGATTGTCCTTCCATACCAGCAGGTCTTTGGAAATTAGGGAAAAATTAAATTCTCACCAATGGTTGCTGTTGCAGTTAAATCAATAAAGATCTTGAATATCAACTTGGTGTTTTGCTTGACTTCTGTAAACTTTCAGGGGAAATCCTATTGATTTCACATTTTGGGATCTTGGCTGGGTGAGTGAACCAGGCAAAGGCCCTTGGCTGCTTTGACTAACACTTAGGGAGCACATGACCCTGTGCACCGAGGAGCAGAGTTCTTTGCATCTGGGAGGTAAATAGGAATCTACCAGGCCCAAGAAGCCTCTAGATACTGGGCTCCAGGCAGCCTAACTGCACTGTTAGCTTTTTCTGAAGAGTACCACTGTGGCTCCATGGGAGCACTTGTCAGAAATGCTCATATCTGACTCTGAAATGAGGCATTCTGCCTGCACAGCATGTTTCCTTACTAGTAGTCTAGAGTTGCCTCTTCGTGCAGAGAAGGAGAATGCTGTCCATTCACGTTTCATATATTAGCTCCACAGACTAAAACTGGACTGGAGATGGTTTCCCATCAAGACAGCGTAGAGATTTAGGGACAAGCCCTAGAGTAAAAGAGGTTTGAAGTTCAGCTGTGCTTGCCAGCTCTGTGACTGCCAACACGTTCTGAATCTCCAGGCCTCAGTTTCCTTCTCTAGAGTGTTACAATCTCCAGAGTTGATTGTGAGGCTTAGGTGAGGTCGTGGAGAGCACTCAGGTGTCTGCTACATGAAGAGTTAGTAAGTGGCCTACAGCCCCGTTGGTGTGGCACGGCGTCCCTTCAGTGGGGTCCCTGAGCATGCAGATTGGGGGTGCAGCAGGCTGGCCTACTTGCTATTGATGTGTGCAGCCCCAGACGCAAGTAGGATATTTACTCAAGGCGACAGGATAGGTAAGACTAGAGCCAGGGCAGACTGAAGACGAAGATAGCCCTGGTGCTTTCAGGTGCCGCCACTGCCTTTTGCCTGTGATCCTGTTTGTGCTTTTATCTTGCACTGTCTTTCTTTTTGCTCACCACTACTTGCTGCCAGGCCTACCCACATGCCCAGCAGAGCACAGTAATGTGCTGTTTTCTCACTCAGCTACTACTGATGACGCTGCTAGAGGAGCAGTGTAGACCTTTGCCTTGAACGCGAGGTAAAATAACACTAGTCTGTGAAAGCCCCTTTCTGGCTCCAGATTAGGGCAGGACTCAGTTCTCAGCAGTGTTTCTTCCAACTTAGAAAACCAGGGTCAGAGCATGGAGCTCTTGCTAGGCTTAGCCCCCCACACCTCTGGCCAGGCAGGATGCACTGCTGCCATCACCTGGAAGCTTTCGGGAGGGGGGGAGGGGCAGGCAGAATACCACTGCAATATCGGTGAGGTCTGATATGAGTACAACTGGGAACACACTCCCACAAGCTATAGCCACAAATAACTTGACCTTTCACTTTCCTGGCCTAAGCCATAGCAGAACAGTTGGGCACCTACTCAGCAACGATGTTTGAAAGCCCTGGGATGGGATTTTTCACTCCTAAGAACTTCAGTTTGGTAATAGAATTGGGATTCAATTGTATGGTTCCAAAAACAAATCCAATGCTCTTGAGCAAAACCTGGCTTCTGGAGCCAGAGCTCTGCTCACTCCTGACTGGGCTGTCCACTAGACTCAATTCTCAGAGAAGAGGATGGGACTAAAGCTGACCTCGCAAGAACTCAATTCTCTTTTCTAAGTGTCAGTTGCAAGAGCCTGTTGTGACTCTGAATCCTGGCTAAAGCAGATCTACTTCCACTCCAGGAAATGAGCAGCTCTGTTGCTGAATCAGGGCAATTGAGATCTGTCAAGCCCAGACCTGACTCTGGCCTACCCAAACCCTGCCTGGACCAGGATCACTACCTTGACTCAACCAAGTTACTGTTGAATCACGTCTCAGCAGAGGTTCCCACATGATTAGAATCATTTTCCTAAGATGAGCACAAGTCAGCAGGTTTCCTGGGAAGAAGGGTAGGGGAGATATTCATTGTGGACTTACATTGCCAACAAATGGCCTCTTTGCCCTGCCTAACAAACAAAAAAGTAGCTCCTGCTTTGACATTAAACAAATTCAGTTGCCTTTTGGGTGTGTTCAGTCAGAAGACTTGTGTTATTTTGGGAGCTAGAACTTCCTATAAGAAGGATTCTTTTTGTTGTGCTGGACTGTGGAGACTGACATTAAACCCACCTCAGAATCCTGAGCAACAGAAGAGCTGATAACGGTGAAAGAGGCCTGGTAGAGCTTGGGCTAGCAGGCTGAATGAGTTTGAAACAGAGATAGGGATAAGGCCCAGGGCCAGCCTATGGTTTAAAGCTCATAGTTCTGGGGCTCCCTTGTGGTGCAAGAGGTTAAGTCTCAGCACTATGAAGCTATCAGCAGCCTCTGCAGCACAAATATGATTCCAAGCCAGGGAGGTAACCCACATGGCGCAGCAGATGACTTCTGTTTACCCCGCTGCTCCCCTCAACAGTGTATTTCAGACCATCTGCCTGTTCTGCTCCTCACTCCGGTGAATCCTCTTAACCCCTGCACCTCTGGCCTCACTCCTGCTTTTGTATGCATAAATAGATCTTTAAATAAGTAAAGCCCATGGTTCTTTTGGATCTGCCAGTGGTCATTTGCATATACCTGCTTGCATATTACAGGAGGAGGTTGAGCAGTGAATTATCTGAGCTCACACAGAGTAGCTTCTCAGTGGCTAAAAAGTCTTCAAACAGGGCAGGGCCCTCCCCCTGGAGACAGGAAGCTCAGGGGCCTCATTAACAGCACAGAGTGAAACTGAGGTGAACTGTCAGCAACTTTAATAGGCTCGATCATGTCTGCCCAAGCAGACTGACTCGGGAATGTCTGAGGGCTCCAGTTCTGTGGACCAATGTGGTCACTTCTCTTGGACGAGTTCCTGCTTCTTCCTTCAGAGGCACCAGCTGGCCTAGGAGGACTGTACAATGGCTTTATTGTTTGTGCAACTCATTAGCAGAGTCCCACTCCAGGGACTCTCTAGACAAGGCCAACAGATTGTCACTGGCCAGCCAAAAAGATGGGGGGGGCGGTCCCCGAAGCCAGCCTGTGGCAACAAGAGCCAACAGACTGCTTTTAATTTAACATAGTAATTTAATATTTAGAAGAGAGGGACTGAAGACTAACTTCAAGAATACATAAACATATGAACATATGTTGTCCCTACTCAAAATTAAATGCACATAACCTCCAACCTCTGCAGACAATCTCTGGGAATTCAGGTAAAGAGACTCTTGCACTCATAATTTTACCCTGCTGTCTGTTCAGTGAAGAAAAAACCCAGCATGCCTGCGTCCCTGGTGTCCTCTGTCCTCCCCGACAGTGGTTCTGTATTCAGTTGGGTTCCAGAGGCTTCATTTGTAGGGTGGGCAGCCTTTCCTCCTCAGATCTGGTAGACAGAGCAACTTTGCCCACTCGATTTCTCCTCTTTGGATGAGATGGTTATTGTAGCTTCCAGGAGTTTCCCAACTTTCCATACAGGCCTATCCAGCCTCCTCCGGGAGGTCCTCAAAGACATCCACATTCTTCCACGATCATGTCTTTATGATGGTCCAGAAGGACCCTGCCATTGTCCACGTACAGCATGCTCAAAGGCTTGGTCTTCACCGGAGCACAGCAGGTGGAAGGGACTCGGTGAGGCTGGTACCGTTTCAGCAGACTCTGAAAGGGAAGACAGTAGGTCAGTTCACACCCCAATGGTCAGGTTGGAATATGTAATTTCTGGAGAAAGGGTGAAACAGTTGCAGAAAGCTAACATTGGTTTCAAGGTGCAAAAAGCAAAATTATTTCCATAACGGAGTCAGCACTAAAGGCTAAAATAGTATCTATTGTTTATCAGTAGCTTTAACAGAAGATTCTAAAAGCTCTATCTGGGTAGAACAATAACCATTTTATATGTTCTTCTATTACTTTAGCCTAAAGGGAATACCAATCTAGAAACTATTCCAAGAAACTCCTGGTTTAGCTCCAGAAATATGAAGCAGAAGAGTCATGTGCAAATTCTTGTGGATTTTGCCTTGTTGCCCAGAGAAGGGCAAACAGTCAATGGGAGAAAAGGTAACAATCCCTTGGCTTTCTGGAACTGGGCCCTGTCCCTGTGGTCCCATGACATCTTTTCAGATCATAGTGTCCAGAGTTGATGATTGGGACATCTGGGTTTCTGGATCATGCTGCAATTGCGTTAGTGGAGTGAAGAGGGACCTGTGCGTAGAACTGGGGAGACTCACAAGGCCTCCCTAGCCTTTGCCCAGGACTTAGTACCTCCCTGGCATGAGCTCAGCTCCCATGTTCTCCAGAGCCTCTGAACCCCACCTGAGGCCTGGCATAGAAATGCACGGAGGTCCACGAGCCCCCCAGCCTGAGCTCTGTGGAGTACAATAAAAACACTAAGTTCCCATACAGCCTTCGAGAGCAGCCCAGGGCCACCTTATAATAGCAGGCCCCACAATGGACTGTTCCCTGCCTTTCCCTTCTCATTCTCCTGCTATTCTTCTTTCTACACCACCACCACCTCTTCCACCTTTTAGATTAGGTTAATGAGCATCCTTGTAAACTCTATTTCAGTTTCAGGCAGCAAAAGTGCAGTGATAAGAACAGTGTTATCTCAACAAAGCAACTAGAAAGAAGTATGGAGCTTCTAATATTAATACATCACTAAACATGCCCATTTCGTGCAATATGTCATGTCACTTAGCTACACAACATCCTATAAAATACCCTGCTATCCCCATTTTACAGGTGGCAAAACTGAAACTCCAAGAGAATCAGCATCTTGCTTAAAATGACATCACTCATAGGTAAGAACCAAAGTCAGGCCTGTCTATCCCCACGCTCCTTCCCCAGGACATCAGGGTTGGAGAGGAGCTGAGAGCTTCTAGTCTGTACCTCCCACCCCCTTCTTTTATAAAAGACAAGGCAAAAATCCCAGGAAAGAAAAGCGTTCAAGGCCACCCAGAAGGACATGACTGGTGTCAGCTCTTTGAGGATGCTGTCATCTCTGTGTCCCTGGGATCTAGTATAAGGCCTGGGACCTGGCACAGACTTGAATGACAAGCACAGTAAGTTCAAAGCAACGCGGAGCCCTGAGCCCCTCCCGCCGCCATGCCTCGGAGCACACCTGGATGTATGCGTGGTTGGTGGGATGAAACTCCTCTCCCACAGGATTGGGACATTCGCCCTCGCAGCGATAGGCATTGTACTGCTTGGGGTAGATGATCCAGGAGCCCCATCCAATCAGGTTGAAGTCCACCTGGAACTTGACCTTCCGACATAGCTGGCTTCTCTCCGGTAAGTGATGTCGACGGTGCCTCCTGTCCCTCTCCCGGGAGAGCTGCCCCTCCTGGACCCGCCAGGAGCTCTCAGCCTCCCACAGCAAGGTGGAACCCCCCAGTCGCCTCTGCTCCGGAGAGAGGTTGGAGTAGAGCATGAGGAGTGCGCTGGTGACAGGTGGCGTGGGGGGCCGTCGCCAGCACTCTCCCGCTCTACCTGACATCTGTTCCTCTAGCTCCCTGGGGTGCTTCAGCCACTTGGAGAGCGGCCTGGTCACCTCCAGGACCATGCTGCCCGAGGAGAAGGTGACCTGGGACAGAGTGACAGTAAACAAGTCCATCTGAAGACGCTCCAGGCAGCCAGCTGGTTCCAGCTCCTCGGCCAGCTTTGGCTGGTGGAAAATGGCAATGGAGAGCGGGACATCAGGGGCGAGGTGTCCAGAGCCGGACAGCTGCAGGCGGAGCTCAGCCCACGCCAGGTCCTCTTCTTGGCTCAGGAAGGAGAAGTCAAAAGAAAAGGTCCAGTTCTGCCCATCCACTTCCACATCTGGGGGGGAGAAAGCAGGAAGGGAGCAGGTGAGTGGGGACCCCCTGAAGCCTCAGTCAGTATAAGTGTGACCATAGCTCATGCTCCAGCCCTCACCTGACGTGAGTCACCTTAGTCCGCAGTCCAGAGCTGGGAGTGTGTGGTGAGCCCATTTTAGAGGTGAGGAAAATTGAGGCTTTGGAGTTAAAGAACCTGTCTGAGGTGTCAGACAAAGCCCAAACTGCTCTTCTCTCTCTTCCCTATCCAAGACACTCCACAGGTGAAAAAACTGCTCAGGTTTGGATGAGTCTTGGCTCAAGCCAAGCCCTGAGCTTTCTGACTGAACCCGGGACTTCTCACTCGGTGACCGGAGCAAGTCACCATCCCGGCCTTGTTTCTTATTGGGAAGGGGGTGTTTCACAGGCAAAAGCAAGTTGGCAGGCATATCTCAGAGGCCCTGGCTCAGGAAGGCATAAGCAACAGAAGAGAGCCTGGCCACCCCCTCTTCAGCCAGCTCCTAAAGAGGAAGCTGAGGCCTCCAGAGTTTTTGGCCACCTTACAATAGGCTTCTAAGCAGACTTTGAAACAACCTTGTAATTTGCACCCGAAAACCTTTCCTGTCCACCCACAGGCCACTCACCTTCCAGGCCCAGGGTCAGCCACGCTTTTGGGTACACACAGCAGTTACTCCATTACACACAACACACCCACTCTCCACCCCTGATGACTTCACCCAAACTGGATAAAGGGAGTGGGGAAACACTCCATTTATTTCATTCCTGGACCAAATTGGTCTAATGTCTGGGAATAGCACTTATTTGTGGAGCTTGGGGTCATTTATAAGTGGTCTTTAACTTTTTTCAAGCTCAGCTTTCTCTTGGTTCTACTCATCTCTGCATTATCAGGAGGATGCAGGGGAGACAAAGGTTTGAAGGTTTATTTACTAAATATAAGCCAGGAGTCATTCATTAGAAGTAAAAAGAGGACGTTTATCACCTTTTCAAGAATAGATTCAGAGCCGGTGGTGAGCTCCAATTTAGGCCCCCAGGGGAGACTTACTGTCTCGCATCAGTCAGATACTAATTCTCTGGGAAGCCCAGCTGTATTTGAAGGGGTCATTCCAGCTTCAGCCTCCAGGCAGCTTTTCCCAGCCCCTCTCCAGCTGCTCTTTTTCACCTAAATTTCCACTTCCCTCCTCATTAGCACCTGCAGGGGGCAATAACCGGCCTGGACTGGCAACTCCCCAGAAATGTGGGAGGGGACAGACTTTACTCAGGACTCCTTGCAGCACCACCTGGCCACCTGGGGATTATATAGGATGAGTAACAACTCCTGGTCACCTGCACCAAGAGTTAAAAACATCTTGTCTCAAGTATAGGTACAGTACCGGCACACCGTGGAGAGCCTATGAGTTTGGTTCTGACCACAACAGTAAAGGGAGTATCACAATAAAACAAGTCACATGATTTGGGGGTTTTCCAACGCATATCAGACCTCTCCTGTCTGGCTTGCTGCTCCCCTCAGCAGTGCATTTCAGTAGTCTGCCTGTTCTGCTCTCCACTGTCTCTCTGGTGAATCCTCTTACTGCCCCTGTGTCTCTGGCTTGCACCCCAGTTCTGTCTGCATAAATAAGTAAACCTTAAAAAAAAGTTACGTTTATACTATTCTGTAGTCTATTAAGTTAGCAGTAGCACTACCTTTAAACGACGGTGTAAATGTTAATTTAAAAACCATTGCAAAGAATTGCTAACCATCATCTGAGTCTCCAGTGACTCAATGTTTTTGTTGGTGGAAGATCTTGCCCCCCCACCAAAAAAAAAAAAAGTTAAAAGAGAGTCTGCCTTTATAGAACAAATTGCCTTTAAAAAAATTATTTTTGCATATAAGAACTGGGGTGCAGGCCAGATGTGCAGGGTTTGGTGAGAGGATTCACCAGAAACAGAGTGGGGAACAGAACAGGCAGATGTACTGAAACACACTGCTGAGGGGAGGCAGGGTCAGGTCAGGAGAGGTCTGCTGCGCCATGTGGGTCACCTTCTTGGCCAGGGATGGAGCTCTGCTACAGTGGCTGCAGATTGCTTCATAGTGCTAATGCTTAACCGCCTGCGCTACCAACCCAAAAATGGCCTTTTAGAAGAAGGCGTTCCAGGTCAGTGGTTGAGATCAGGGGCCATATTGTCTCCGGTAAAGGTTCAAAATCTGCCACTTGCTGCTTACCACTAGGCAGGTTACTTTTCTTCTCTGGGCCTCAGTTATCTTTGGAAAAGTGAGAGGTGACAGCATCCAACTCTCAGGGGTATTGTGATTTACCCAGCTAATGTGCGTGAACTGTTTGGTCCAGCACACCAAAGTCCAATAAGCAATTGCTGTCATCCATCACCTCTTTGTTATTGCCTAAGCCCAAAGTTAGAAATGAAAGGGTCCAGGCAACAAGGGACCTGGATTAGGGGAGCAAAGATGGGTGCTGCTAGAATGAGCAGCCAGGGGGAGGGGCAGTGAGACTGCCTCGTCCAGCTGGAAGTCTGTGACTCCAGAGCCTGGGTCTCAGTCCAGGGCTTTCTGAGACAATATGCTGAAAGGTTCTGTTAGCTCTGGCTCTGGCTCACCTTAGAATAGGGGTGCCTAAGCTTTTGAGGGCCACTGATGCTTGATGAAAGCTAAGAATACTCCCCCCAGGGGAAAAAAAATTCAGCTTCTACGTAAACAACGAACATGATTTTGGGTATGAGAAAGGGGTTCCTGGATCCCCCTCCCTGAGACCCATCCACCCCCCTGAGTGCAGAGTTGGCCACACCAAGTTCCAATTAGCTTGATCCATTTCTAATTCCAGCAGGAAGTGATTGGATTCATGCCTTTGGAGTCCTTTCCCCTAAACAGAGTTATGGCTAAGTTAGGGTTCCGGGCTTTGTAAAAAGGAAAGTGGGGAGCATGACATCATCCACTCTGCTTCTTTATAAAGTAAAAGGGCAGTTGCTTTTATTTTTGTGCTGCTTTCCCCAGGTTAAGTGTGTTACAAGTGTGGCTTCCTTAAATCCTCCCTGCCATGGTCATCATTCTTCAGAAGAGGACACTGAATTCATGGGGAAGGTGGTTAAACAGAGACAGCAGAAGCAGACCTGACTCGGTGCAGCACCAACACCCATTTCAGGTTATCAGGGTGCATGCGGCCTACACAACTCCCAAAGGGAAAGAAACGACCAGTCATCCCTCCTCAGGTCCATCTCCAGGTGGGCCTCCCCCTCCACCTTTCATTTTTAAGTGAAATCAATTCACAACCCTGTGAATGTACTTAATGGCATTGTACACTTAACAATGGGCAAAATGGTAAAATTTGTTATGTATATTTTACTACACATACACAAATGAGGCAGCCAGAAAATGATCCCCTATTTTCCAGAAGAGGAAACTACAAGCCAACTGCAGCACCAGGGCCACAAAAGAGGAAACGGCCTGAGGAACTAGAATTCAGTTTTCCAGACTCCTGGACTGTCCCGTCCCTGCCAAGACCTTTGGGAATTCTCTAAGAAGATGGAATCAGTTGGAAAAGTGTGTCACCCTCTTCCCAGCCCCCAGCTTTCAGCACTCCAGTAATTTTCAAATTGCCCCACCCCTGTGTCTGGCTGGTCCCCAGATGACCCTTCCGGAGAGGGTCACCAGCCGTCTGACCCCAGATGTTGCAGGCCAGAGCGCTAGAAGCCCCCACTCTCAGACCACTAGAGGCCAGCAGGAGGCCAGTGAGATCAGATTGTGGGATGTGGATTGTGCCCCAGGCCTGGGGAGGGCTGTCTGGTCCTGGCAGCAGAGGGAGGCCCAGGGCTGCAGGAGTCTGCCCCCCTCCACCCCCAGTCCAGGCATCAGAATGTGGATTGCACAGGGAAGAGGACTCTAAAGGGCGAGGGCCTGGGGGGGGAGGGCGCTCTCTGCTCAACACCCACTTGCTCACCTCTCACCTGTTCTGGTGCCCAGAACACACTGCCAAGCCCAGGTCACCAGGGTCTTTGAATGCACCTTCGTCCGCCCCCACACACACACACACAACCTCGTGTCATGGGATACTGACACACCTCCATTCAGAGAATCCCATGTCTAATACTGGAACTCTGAATCCTAGTCCCTGGTGAACCTGCTTGATAGCCTGTGTCAAAGCTCGCTCTCAGGCTGAAAAGCTGCCAAGGCCAGACTCTCTCACTCTCAGGAAAAGAAGAAATTCAAGACATCATCGTGGACAGTAATCACCTCATGTTGTTATCATGACACGTTTTGTGCTAAGCGTTTTATGTGCCATCACCTAGCCCCGGTCATATCTCATGAGGAAGGTACACTTAGCCCTTTTCTGCAGATGCGCCAAGTGAGGCGCCGCGAGCTAAGTATTCCATAGTTTAACAAGACCTCACAGTGAGGTCCGTCCGACCCGACTCCACCGTCCCGCGCTCTGCTCGACCTAAACCAAGACTCACAACGCAGGGATCTCTGTCCCGGATCTCAACGCCCCAAACGTCCGCGTCCGCTCGGTCCACCGACCCCAGGGGAGAGTCTGGAGGCGGCTGAGGCTCCCCGGGGCGCTCGGCTGGGAGGAGCCGCCCAGCCTACCTTGAGCTTGCAGGCTGCGGATGATGTCTGCTCGAGGCAGCGGGTCGCGATACAGACTCAGCATATAAGCAAGCGGAGACGGCGACGAGGGCAGCCCCCGCGTGTGGAGCTGTATGGGGGCCACGGTCGCGGCGCCCGCCTGGAGCAGGGCGCACCAGGCGTGCAGGAGGAGGTTCGGCAAGCGGTGGGCGTGCATCGTGCACCGGCGAGGCCTGCAGCCGCTCTCCGCCCCTTTTATCCTGCGCCTTCCCAGCCGCCCCGCCCCCGCCCTTCCTCCGCCGGGGATGCTCCGGGATCTTAAACGACCCCCCCATCCCCCTCACACTCGGGGGTGGTCTCCCAAGGGACCCCTGCTGGGGGCGGGCGAGAGCTGAGCCTGGTAGGGAGAAGACCCGCAATGCATGAGGGAGCTCTAGGTCCCGGGACGGTGTGATTTATTGGTTGTGGACACGTTGACACTCTGCTACTGTAGAGGCTGAATCTTTTATTCTGAAACAGCCAGTTTGTGCGAATTTCCAGGTCAGAAATGTGGCTTCCTTGCTCTGCCTCTCCTGGGATCTCTACCCTTTCCTGTCTCTCCGGTCCAAACTGTTCCAGCGGAGGTGGGGTTCGACAAGGAGCTGGGGGAGGGGGGGAGTGGGCGGGCCCTGGCGACTCTCAGGCAGGGTTTGGCCACACCCTGGTCCGGCCGCGGCCTTGCAGCCTTCCTGACGTGCTTCAATACTGAAGGACTTCCTGGGCCACAGAGGCTGGGGTGACAGGGACCGAAGGCTTTTTCTATGGGCGTGAGGAGAGTCTAGCAGTGGCGGGATTTCTGGCTTTGCTAACTGGTGGTCCAGGCTCCTGGCCCCCACGTGCAAAATGCCGGGGTGGTGTCAGGCTCCCCTTTCACAAGCACACATCACCCCAGTGATCTCAGGAGCAGAGGTGGGGTCTGTTTCCCCTGGAAACCCAGCTTTCAGTTCTAGATGTCTCACTTTCCTCTATCCCGGAACTTCTTTCCCCATGGGCAGAGGAGTGAAACTTGCCTGGCTGAGCTGGAATTGCCTTTAAAGAAATGTAAATCTCTGCCCCTTTTCAGACCCCAGCTGTTTTCCTCAACCCTGGAGGGTTGAGGAAACCCTCTGCCCCCACCCGATCCTACTCCCCAAGTGCATTCCTAGCCCCAGACAAGTGTCTGGATAACATTTGCTGAAATGCGTGCTATAGGCCAGCACAGCTCAGCTGTTTTTCACAGGCCTCCAGCTTCAAAGAACCCCAGGCTCAGCCCTGAGCAGGTATTAGGCAGTGGAAGAAGGCTCCCACAGGCCCCTACCCATCCAACCTTGGTCACCTACATATTTAACAGCACCCCAGGGATTCTTAGACTACCTGGAGAACCTGGATGGGCTAGAATTCTAGTTGCAGTTTGAAACCCACCTCCTTGCCTTCAGTTTCCTCACCTGTAACTCATGATCAGACACTGGTAGAGGCCTTGCAGAACCTGGATTGCAGGCCCCCACAGACGACAGGATTTGGACAATCCTTGCACTCGGCTGTCTACTAGTTCATTCCAATGGCG